TTTCATTATACACAAACAAAATCTATTCACAGAATTTAGTATTAACTCTTGATTTCTATCTCTGCTGGTGAGTCACCAATACTTCTGGCTGTCCCTCTTACAGCTTCTGTGCAATTGTAGTAACTATTTTGATTCCATATTATATATATTTTGTAAACTCATAGTTAAATAGAAGTACTATGGTTCATTTTGCCACCAATATGTGTTTAGATTTAACCATATGTTTATCATTTATTTATCCTCAATTCCTTTTTTTCGGATCTTCCTTCTGGGATGATAACCCTTCTTCTTGAAAGATACCCTTGTTTAGAAGCTCCTTTACGAAGGGTCTTCTGTTGGTATAACAATTTATGATTTATCTGAAAATGTCTTTATTTCACATGTCTTCTTGAGAGGGAGTTTTGCCAGTTATTCAAATCTGAGATGTCAGATATTTTCTCAGAACTGCGAGGATTTTGTGTCATGGTCTTCTGGCTTCTAGTTCTGTGGAGTAGTTATCTGTTGGTTTAATTGCTGTCCCTTTTTTTCTAACTTCTTTTACAACTTCTTTTTGTCTTTGGGTTTCTGTGGTATCATCATGTGTATAGGTATGGGTTTAAAAAAAATTCACCCTGCTGGGATTTCTTGGCCTTTCTGAATTGAATGATTTATGTCTCTTATTAGTCTTGGAAAATTCTTAGCACTGTGTCTTTGAATGTTATCTCTATTCCTTCTATTTTTTCTATAACTTTGATCAAATGTATGTTGGACTGTCTTGTTCTGTCTCCTATGTCTCTTAACTTCTCTTTTTAATATTTCACAACTCTTTGTTTCTCTATGCCCTGTTCTGAGTAACTTCTTTAGATCTATCCCCTACTTTACTAAATCTTGCTTCAGCTGTGTTTAAATTGCTGTTTTACATGCATATTGAGGTTTATATTTTAATATTTATTTATTTACTTATTTTAGAGGCAGGGTCTCACTCTGTTGTTCAAGCTGGAATGCAGTGCTGTAATCGTAGCACACTGCAGCCTTGACCTCCTGGGCTCAAGTGATCTTCCTGCCTCAGCCTCCTGAGTAACTGGGTCGACAGTATAGGTGTGAGTCACTGTACCTTGCTGAGTTTGAGGGTTTTTTGTTTGTTTGTTTTGTTTTTGTCTCACTCTATTACCCAGGCTGGAATACAGTGGCACAGTCTTGACCTTCTGGGCTGAGGCCATCCTTCCTCCTCAGCCTCCTGTACTCAGGACTACTAACTGGGACTACAGGCATGTGCCACTACGCCCTGCTTATTTTTTTATTTATTGTAGAGACAGGTCTCACTATGTTGCCTAGGCTGGTCTGAAATTCCTGGGCTCAAGCAGTTCTCTTGCTTTGGCCTTCCAAAGTACTTGGATTACAGGCATGAGACCTCACACCTGGCCTTAAATTTTTAATTATAAAAATTTTATTTTTCAATGTTTTTATTTCCTTTTCAAATATTTCTGGTTAGTTTTCATAGTTTCTTTAAAAAATAGATTCCATAATGCAAAAGCCAGGAGAGCAACATGGAAAGATGCTTCCGCACAGCTCTCTGAAAGAACTAACCCTACCAACATCTTGAACTCGGACTTGGAGCTTCCAAAACTGTGAGACAATACATTTCTGATGCTTCAGTAGAAAAAAGGCGAGGATTATCTGTCTCAACTTTGACTCTGTGCAACTACTGGACAGAAAGTCTCCCCAAGTTTGGAGCCCACACTGCTTATATGTTCCTAATAACTGTGCTGAGAAGCATAATTAAAAGTGGACCTGGTTGCCAAGGGCTGTCAGAAGCTAACATAAATCATGCCCTGAAGAACACACTCTCAAGCCAGGTATCAAAGTATTCCTGCAGCTAAAGTTTCAACAACTATGAGCACAGAATTAAAAATTACAAAACATATAGGAAAATAAAGTACCATGAAAAAAGGCAAAAAAAAAAAAATCCCATGAAAAAGTAAAAACACAACAACAAAAGCCATAAACATAGAATCAGATCTTTAAAGACTTCAGATATTGGAATTATAGAATCTGTTTTTGTTCTTTTTTTGAGTTGGAGTCTCACTCTGTCGCCCAGACTGGAGTGCAGTGGCTGCTCCCAGTCACCGCAGCCTTTACCTGCTGGGGTCTGGCGATCCTTCCAGGTAGCTGGAACTACAGGCACGTGCTACCATGCCCGGCTAATTTTTTTATTTATTGTGGAGATGAGGTCTCGCCAAGTTGCCCGGACAGGTCTTGAACCCACGGGCTCAGGCAATCCACTCACCTCAGCCTGAGAATCTATTTTTTTTAAAGAAACGATGAAAACTGACCAGAAATATTTGAAAAGGAAACAAAAAACATTGAAAAATAAAATCTGGTGTTCCTCTGCTTGTGGCTGTTATCACCCTGACCTCTGCCTTCCTCTTTACATAGGGTTCACCTTCTGTGCTTATGTGTCTAAATTTCTCCCTTTTCTAAGGATTCCAGTCATATTGGATGAGGGACCCACCCTACTCCAGTATGACCTCATCTTAACTAATTATATCTACAATGACCCTATTTCCAAATGTGGTCACACTGTAAGGTACTGGAGGCTAGGACTTCAACACAGGAATATCTGGGGGACATAGTACATATCCATGTCTTAGGTTGGGTTTTCCCCAGAAAGTAGAGCCTGAGACAAGGAAGGGTCTCTGTACATGGTTTATTCCAGTACACGATCCCAGGGAACAGACGTGAAAGACTGGGGAAAGTTCAGCAGACAAGAAGGACACTCAGCCCTCAACATTCTTGAGACAGATGCTCTTGAACGTAGATACTTCTTGCTGTCCTCTGAGGGTTGGATGTTGTTCTTATTCATTCTTTCTGTGAGAGTACAACACTTCCTGGGCCCCCACTTTTGAAATATGGTCTTCAGTTGGGTTCCCTACTTGCCCAGCCCTAACACTTGTCCCCAGTCCCCTGTGGCCTAAGAGCCCAGCCATCTGGCCCAGTATCTGCCTCGGCTGCCTGGTTACTTCAGGGCCTGTCGCTGCCCAGCTCAGCTCCTGCTTTAGTCCTGCACCCAACACATTCCCCTTACTGTCTTGCGGGTTCATCCAGTCACGTAAAAGTGTGTTTCTAAACACATGTTAAACATTCTTAAATGTTTCGACATGGAGGACTTCAAGATCTCTCAGAAATAGAATAGAAATGACTTCCTTTTTTAAAAAATAGAGTGAATCCAAGATTCTCCCTGTGCCGTTTCACACAATTCTGTTCTGATAGACTGTGGGGAGAAGAGAAAGAAGCTGTGATGATTGCTCAGTCCCCAGCCTGGACTGCAGTGGACGGTCCCTGGGCCTCCATCAGTGACTGGGCCATCACTTGCCCTACTTTTCTAGGCTGTGAATCTGAATTATAATAGGTGGAGATACCTCAGCTTATTAAATGATAATGACAGCTGTCACAAGTTTAAAGAATGTGAAAGTTGGATGGATAATAGGATGATTTTGGCACACATCAGAAGTTGGTATCCTCAGACTCCATCATTCATTCATCAGATGTTTCTTGAGCTCCTGTTGTACGTCATTCACAGTGCCTGGCACTGGGGAAACAGGTAAACAGTGCCTCCTCAGGAAGCTCAGAGTCTAATGAGCAGACAGTTCATTTCAGTGGGCACGAGAAGGGGTGTAACGGGAGAGGCTTTAGTGTACTGAGGAAAGAGGCCACCGCCCACTCTGGTTGAGCATGTAATCGGTTTATTTTATTTTTATTTATTTATTTATTTATTTTGAGTTGGAGTCTCACTCTGTCACCCAGACTGGAGTGCAGTGGCTGCTCCCGGCCACCGCAGCCTCGACCTGCTGGGCACCGGCGATCCTTCCGCCTCAGCCTTCCAAGTAGCTGGAACTACAGGCGTGCACTACCACACCCGGCTAATTTTTGATTTATTGTAGAGATGAGGTCTTGTCAAGTTGCCCAGGCGGGTCTCGAACCCACGGGCTCAGGCAATCCACTCACCTCGGCCTCCCAAAGTGCTGGGATTACAGGCTGAGCCACCGAGCCTGACCATATTGGTTTATTTACCATCTCTTAACTCCTCTTTCCTCATGTAATAAATGAGAGAGAATGGACCAACCAGCCTGAGGCTGCCTCCATTTCTACTATGCTGCATCGGAAGGACCAGTAGAAGTCATCCAGGTGGAGGACAGGGGAAGGACATTCCAGACAAGGCAGAAGCATGTGCAGAATTGTTGAGGCCAGACAGGCTTTGTGTTTGGGGGAACTGCAGGTGGCTTATTTGGCCAGAGTGTAGTTGGGGAGGCCTGAGTGTGGGGTGGGGATTGATGACAGCTGAGCCTGCAGGTAGTCTGGGACGTCACATGGAAGCCTCAGAAGCTGTGTCTGGGAGCACACCTGGGAAACTGTGTACCTCTTTTACCTAGGCATGAGTGATTCTGTCGGGGTTGTCATGTTGAGTTCTTTTAGGAGCCAGCTCCTGTCATGGAAGAGAAAAGATGTGGGCTTTGGAGTCAAGGCAGCCTCATATTCAGATTCCAGCTTCATTCTGTTTGGGTGATCTTGTAGTTGGTTTATTTACTGTCTTTGAACACTTCTTTCCTCATGTGATAAATGAAAGAGAATGGACCAGATGGTCTCCTGAGGCCTCCTCCGTTTCCTGTATCCCATGGTTCTGTGGGTATAAGTATGTGTTGTTATAAAGTAAGAGAACAAATATGTAAATGTGTACACAAACACACACAGCTTAAGTCTGTGTTGTTACAAAGAGGAAAAATATGTAAATGTGTACACAAACACAACCTAAGTAAAAGTGGTACCCACATTTATGAATATTTGCAGATATTGTTCTGACAGCAATTCTGGCAATTTCTGGCTTCCAATGAGCTGTTTAGATTCTAACTGTGAGCTTCTGACTCTTTATGGTAAACAGAATGGGTACGTGTTTATGCCTGTAACAAAATGTAGCACTGTGACCGTCCTTGCATTGCACTAACTGGCTTTGGTTTCCTTACTAGATAAGCTTGCTCCGGAACAGCACAACCTTTCTTTAGACTCCATGGAGCTCCTGCTGACGACAAGCACTGGGCACAGCGCTGCACAAGTGGCCTTAACAGAATCTGCTTCAGGACCTCAGCAGAGCAGTTCTCTCCATGTCATAGCCTCTCCGTCTGCCACTGCTTTTGATACAGCCTTTTTTAACCAAGGAAAGCAGATCCAAAGTACAGCAGATCACAATGTCTATGTGGCCAATTACGTGTCAGTGACGAGTAATGAAGTGGCCATGGATGACGATGAAATGGATAACTTTTTGCCAGATACTCACTGGACCACTGCACAGATGGTTTCTCCAATACGGTGTGTCACATTCAGCCCACCAGGGATACCCAGAGAAGTGTTAGAGCCTGTGCTCACTCCTTCACTACCTGTGATTTCTCTCCAAGACAAAGAAGTGCCGTCAGCCTGGCAAAACACAATGCAACAGCCAGTGACATATGCTGAATTTCCCAGTCATTTTCATGCTTTTCTGTCGGCTTTTCCCACCTCTGAGGGCGTAATTCCACCTTCTAGTATGAATTTGGTGCTTTATCCTAGTGATATTTACAATCAGTTGTCAAGCAGGACTTTGCCAGAGATTGTGGCTTCAGGGACAGAAGATGTGGAAACCACCCTCCTTTTTAGCTCCTGGTCTTCAGTGCCTCGGCTGTTGGGCAGTGGCATTACTCACCAGGCGTTTTTGTCCTTGGGGGAGGTCTCACAGCCTCCACAGGAGGTTTTGGTCACAAGTACAGACAGATACACTGATATGATCAGTGCGTTGAGTCAAAGCCTAGAGGAAACCATCTCTACAAGAGCATACCCTGCTCTAACTGTGTCACATGCGGCTCTTGGGGTCAGCAGGACACATTCTGCTTTCTCTTCAACCCCTCTTGTGTTTGTATCCTCTTCTGCCCAATTAGTGAGTGTTTCATATAACCCCTTTCTTCCTAGCGACTCCAGTGAAACATCAGAATTGCTTGGCAACTCAGTAATCCCCAGTCACACGGACAACACTCACATCCTGAGCCCAGTGTCTTCATTCAGACCTTATCTGTGGTGCATGTCCTGCGCTATTATGTCACCTCGGCAAGTTCTGGCCACAAGTCTCATGGAGAAAGACATGGGCTCGGGGGATGGTGCAGAGACCTTGTCCGTGACCATGTTAGAAGAAGGCAGCATCTCTCTGTTGAGTAGTGCCATAGTGGACTTCTCTGAATTTGAGGAAGACTCTCAAGAATATAACACACTTTTTCCATTACGACCTATAGTCCCCCTTTCTTCTAGACCTGTGGAAATCTCAGAAACAAGTGTTGGTGTCTCAGCCGAGGTGGCTATGAGTAGCTTTACGGCTACACAAGGGCAACCTTCCCTCAGCGGCCTCTCTGCACTGTCAACACTTGATCCTCTCACTGGCCTCTCCCATGTTGCTGAAACCCAAGTAATGCCTTCTGGTCTGACTGCTACATTCTTGGGCATCACCACCGTTCTCCTTGACTCATCTTTCTCCCTCATAGCAAGCAAAAACACACCATCGCTAACCATCAGAGACCCAGGTCTTTTTGTGTCTCATAGTTTGGTTCCATCAGTAGAGTCTTCACTTTTCTCTGACCAAGAACCTGGTAGTTTTTTTGAACATAAATCTGAAAGTGTCTTGAATTTTGCATCCAGCTTTTTCTCAACTCCCCCGCTGGAGCTCAGCAGCTCGATCCCCTCCCCTTCAGAAGCACTCGCTTCTTTACTTTTGTCAAGTGACTCGTCACCCTTCACGTCTCCGTCTTTTTCCACCTTGGTTGAGACACTTAGGTTGTCCAGCTCTGCTGATTTGCAGTCACTTCGGCTTTCTCCTCCTAATTTCACAGATCTTGAGTTTTCTCAGCTCCAGCCAAGTTCAGACCTGCCTTTAAATCCCATCCCTTTCCTGCCTAGTCGCTCTGAAGCGTCAGCACGCTCAAGCTTCCCCTCGGATTCTCTCAAGTTTGCTGAAGCATCAGTGGTTTCACTGACAGATTCTGAAGCTCATCTTACCTCAGCTTTTACTGAAACTACCTCCGGTTTTGAGTTTTCACTCATTCCCCATGAGTCTGTAGTCACCAAACTGGTGCCCTCCAGCTCTGAGCCCGTCCTTGACATCTTGACTGCTGGGACGCATTCAACATCACCGTTGACTGCTTTCCACACGACGCCTGTTGTAGATGAGTCTCTTCTGTTCTTGACTCCAGCACCTTCTGATGACCAGACCAGTGCTACCCATGGTTACACGCCTATCTTAACTTCCTTCTCCGAAGTCATTCCCACTAGTACAGCGTTGAACACCAACGTGCACCTGTCATCAGCTTCCAAGTTCATTTCTGAGGTGATCCCCTCACCTCTGCCAACAGAACTGACCTTCATGGGCCCGTCATTCACACCCACAGATATGTCACTGAACACCTCTGAACCAAGCATACCTGACACGAGTCCTGTCGCTGGTAGTCCCATCGCCACTGCCCTGAACAGCAGCACTGTGAGTTGGAGCCCCCCAGAAGGTGACACTGCTCCTCCCCTGCCATCCTTTCATCTCACGACCTCTTTCACTCTCGAAGCAGCAGTTGACACTCCAGTGCTGGCCACCGCCAAGCCGCCATATGTGTGTGACATCACCATTCCCGATGCCTATTTGATCACAACTGGTAAGGCCCTGCTTCTCATTGCTGGGCTGCAGGGATCTTCCTAAGGGGCTGTGTATGGGTCTCATGAGGTTCATTGTGACTAAGGCTCAGATGACTGCTGGCCAAGAGTCCTCACTCCTCTGCCTGCTCCTGTGAGTACTCTAGACAATGATATGGCCTTCCTAAGCTTCCAAGCCTCTGTTTCCTCAACTGTTAGACAATATTGATAGTCGCACCTACTTCACTGGGTTACTATTAGGATTTAAATGCATTAGTGCATATGAAATACTTAGCCCAGTGCCTGGCACATACAATATACTCACAGGAGGTGACATATAGTTAGTAGTTCACAATAAGAACAAACAGGAGATTTAAATGAGCCTTAGACGTTTTTGGTAGGATCTTTGTCCTTGGAACTCATCACCCAGTGGATGCATAGGTGACATGGTTCACACAAAACACTTCCATGTTTGGTTCAGGCAGTGAGCTGGGCAAGTGTGTAAGGGCAATACTTGTGATTTCTTCCTAATTTGCTCTAATTTTTCCTTGAAAGGAGGTTGTGCTTTACTCTCATAGGTTCCTGTAAATGTTGCTTGATCCTAAGGAAAGAAAAGTGGAGTGACTGAATGTTCTCTGAGTTCAGTCACATACTTCGTGCCCTCCCTGTTCATGGCCTGAGCTGCTAGCCCATCAGGCAGCAGCTGCTCTTACAGTTATGTGGCTGCTGTGGCCACAGGGAGCTGGCATCCATCTAAGGGCATATCTCTGTGAGGCAGACTCCTTTCAAAAGTGACATCCAGTGACCATGGCCTGCTTGGTCAAGGGCTCCAAGTTTTTCTTCATGAGAAGTGGCTGGTGTGTGTGGAGTCTTGGGCACTGATGCTGCCGGCTGAACCATACCTTGTGCTGATGAGCAGCCTGCTCTGTGCGTTGACCTTGGAAGAGGGTGGAGGGCAGAAACTAAGAAGGGGAGGAAATGGTAGAAGAATAGAGGAGGAGTGGAATGGGGCAGAGAATGTGGAAGTGAGGCAGGAGAAGAAGGACAGGCTTAGTCTTTTCCTCCATGTCAAGGGTGGTGGGCCCAGGGCCTCTGCTCACTGTGACAGGGCTGTTTCCCTCTTTCCCTCTGAGCCAGTGGGAACAGCTGGGGCCCTTGCTCCCCCAACCCAAAGGGAACCATTTGTTAATCCATGTGACAAGAAATTATCGAGCACTTTGTATGTACGAGGTGCTTCTAGAAGCATTAAGGAATCTACAGATGAAGAAGACATGGCCCCGTCTTTTGGGGAAATGAGAGCCTAGCCATGTTTTCTTGTTAGCTGTAATAAAAATGGTTAAAATAGAGTTTTCTAAAAGTGACTATTTGGGATGGTCAAGGGCAGGTGTGGAAGATTGCGAAAGTGGAGATTCACAGTAAAGAAAGTAGAATGTTGTCATCTGGGCATGGAGGGAAAGTGTCCTCTGGGGGAGGAGGCATTCAGCATGGCTGGAGATTAAACTGTCTCGGGGGGAACGGGTTTTGGGAAAGGAGGTTGGAACAGAATAAGGGACTTTGATCTGCAGGATAAGAGTAGTCAAGGGGAGAGAGAAAAGAGCTCCTTACACACTTGATGCTTTTCTCCTGCTTAAAAATTAGTACAAAGTGGTCAATTAGGATGAGATTATTAAAAGGGTATGAAATTTTCTTTATGTCTCGGAGCCTATGATATTTATGACACAGTTGTAATATTATATCTCTTAGACTTTTTTCTATAAACAATTAGAAACCATTTTAGAAGTATCTCTAAGAATGTCAGCTACACAGCATGAATTTAACTTTCATGTAGGGTATACACTTATGAAATTCAGTACCCCTCCTTAGGTATCCTTATATTTTTAACAGCTTTTTAGATTGAAACTTACCCATTGTAAGTGCACACTTCAACAGTTCTAGTACATACCCAGAGCTGTACATGGGTGTCTATATGGTTATGGTGTATTTTTTAGTGGAGATGAATGCCACCTTTAGCCCCCATGATGCCTTTGATCCAGAAGAAGTATTAGCTTATTTTCAACCTTCACTTAGATTTGACCTTGGTTTCTTTTGAGTAGTTACCTATTAGTGAGAGTCCAGCAAGGGGGTTGAGATGATTCCTTGCCCCTGAAAGGATTCTTTTTAGCAAGCTCTATAGTAAAGCAGGCCACCCTAGATGCTGTGCATCTGTGGTAGATCTGAGAAGCACTTGCCCATGTGCAACCCTTAACAAGTGAGCTGCACTTCTGACCCAGACTTTCTGACCCCACACTGCCTCTGGAGAGCTTGCTCACCTCACTTGGCTCTGGGAAACTGTAGATATATGGAGAAATATCTGTAAGGTGTTTGTTTGCCGATGGTCCCCTTTCCCAAAGACTCATGTCCTCATGTCTTAATGTTGCAGTTTTATGTCTTTTCAGATGAGCTAGAGAAGGTGGGGGTCATGGTGGTGGACTGGGGGACTGTAGAGAGCAGCACCTGGGTGAGTCCACCATGGTGCCTTCAGCTGCGTGGGGCTCTTATAGCGTGTACCACCTGCTTTCCTCTTTTTAGAGTTTTTCTGTTTCTGATTTCCCATTGTGCCTCTCCTTTCCCCAAGTTTAGCTCTTCAGATGCTCCCCCACCCCTGCTCATTTCCTTCCTTAATAAGGTATCTTTCCTTCTTTCCACTCTTCCCCCTTTGCTTCCCCCTTATCTTGTCTTTCCCTTTAAAATCCATGGCATAGTGGGTTCACTTGGAGCCTCTGTTGGCCATACCAAGTTAGGTGTTGGGATGACTCAGCAAGGTGGTCAGGAACTGTGGATTGTTCTAATGGTCTCATGAACTAAAGAAACCCCCTCATCTTAAAGAAATCCATTATCACTGATTCATAGAAAAAAAATCAAATATAACTTAAACGTTTGTTTTTTAAAGAGTGAAGAATGTAGCAAGATTGTCTCCAGTTTGAAAAATTAAAATCAGTAAATGGGAAACTGAGTAATAATGTCAAATGTATTCTAATTCTGTAGTAGGAGTAGTTGATGAAAGAAGAAAGAAAAGATAATAAATAGGGAAAAAAAAAACAGGCTTACTTACTAGTTTAGATTTTTAAGTGGAAGTTTTTAACTGTAAAAAAATTTAAACAGAACTAGACTTTGGTATGAGAAATATTTTATTTCCTACATGAAATATTATTACATGGGAATTGTAATAAAAATATTATTACATGGAAAATCTTTTCCCTCCCATAATTAGTGGTAAAAGCGCTTCATCTGCTTTGAAAACTTGGGGTGAGAGGTCTCATTTTAGAGGAAGATGTCATCTAGTTTTACTGAGTAACATCACAAGACCCTTTAAAATGTTACACTTTTGAGAGCTTTTAAAGCCTCATGTTTTGAAATTAGGGGCATAGCCAAGAGCCAGCCTGGAATTTGTCCCTTGAAAGTAAGAACTAGAAACTCTTTCTTCTCTGGCTGGGTCACAGCTGCTGATTCCTGATCTCACCTACCAGGAGCACAGAGGGTTTTCTTAGTGTGTTGAGCTGATCCTGTGCACAGTTTACCTGATGCCTTCAAAGTCCCCATTGCTGTTCCTCTGGAGGTAGTTAGCAGCAGTTAGGTCCTCAAGCTCTGTTCTATCCTAGATTGTGTTTTATTTTACAAAGAGACTTTTGGATCTGCTAGCATGGTTTGGCACAGCCCTGGGGTCCAGAAGCGTCATACCTCTGTTATTCATAATGATACTAAAATGCTTTCGGTGGTTGGTTTCAATTTGTAGTGCTGGCCAGAAGAGCTGTGCAGGAGTATATCATTACAGCAATCAAAGAAGTGCTGAGGATTCACTTCAACCGTGCTGTGGAGCTGAAGGTGAGTCCCTGTGGCTTGGAGTGTCATGTTTCATTCCAGCTGTGGAATCATTCTTTCCTCCCTCCTCCTGGCTAATGCCTGTTCATCCTTTGGCTCTCTACTCAGACATCACTGCATCAGGGAAGCCTTTCCTGACCCTCAAAGAGGTCACGTTTAGTCCATGGAGGATATGATGGCAAAGCTGAAATAAAGGACTCTCAGACCAGAGGCAGCAAAGTCTGGGGTGATGACCTTTAGGATTTTCCTTCCCTTGATTTACATGAAGGGACTTGGATTCAAGTTTAAATTCAACTTTAGATATGCTTCTTTCTCTACATTTAGTGAGAAAGAGCTAGAGTTCTAAGTCTTTTACATCAGACCATACGCTGATACCTCTTCTTTCCAGTGAATCCAGAAACCCATGCTTTATATAGAACTGAGCTACTCGGAACCAGAACCCTGGGCTGCACGGGCCTGCAGAGCATGTGAAAGGGGGCTCACCCACATTGAGATGTATTGTGGGTATAAAATATATCCCAGATTTCAAAAATGCAGTGAACAAAGGAATGTAAAATATCTCATTAATAGTTTCTTGTATTGACTACATGTTGAAATGGTATTTCAGATATATTAGGTTAAGTAAAATCTATTTAATTTAATATGTTCTGATGTTTTTTAGTACAGCCACTAGGAGTTTTAAAATTACATGAATGGCTCCAATTATATTTATTTTGGACAGCACTGCTCACTAGAATAGGTGCTTTTCCGTGTGGTTGAAATACAACAAACACTTTGAATGCCCCATAACTCATTTCAATTCATATTATTGATGAATTTTTCTCAATGCTGTTATAATTTTGTGCTGTGTTTGAGAAGGTTGGCAGAGAGTAAGAAGAATAACTAAAATAAAATTTTGATAATCTGCAAAGTACAACCACTTCATTTAAAAGCATCAGTTTATTTATTTTTTACTTTATGTTTTATTTTTCTGTCCAACACAACTTCATTTAGGCTTGACTTGTCTTTTGTGTTTTTTATCTCTCTAGGTTTATGAACTGTTCACTGACTTCACTTTTCTGGTGACATCCGGTCCTTTTGTTTACACAGCAATATCAGTCATAAATGTACTTATAAACAGTAAACTTGTGCGTGACCAAACTCCTCTAATCCTGTCTGTGAAACCATCTTTCCTTGTGCCAGAGTCTAGGTTTCAAGTTCAGACAGGTGAGACAACTGAACAGAGTTGTTTGTATTTGTAAATAGAATTTCATTTTTTAAAAAATATTTTTTAAAAATTTGAAATCATTAAAAAAATTTACTATTTGGTTTTAAAAATACTTTATAATGGAAAATTTCAAGCATATACAAAAGTGTGCAGAATAGTTTGATCAACCCCCTTATATCTGTTGAATGACTTCCGCGATTTTCAGTTCCTAGCCAATGTTGTACCCCCATATGTATCCCCCATCTGCTACCCTCTTTGCACACTATTTTTAAGTAAGTCTCAGGTATCATATCATCTCACCCATAAATATTTCAGCCTGCACCTCTAAGAAATAGACTATTAAGCCAGACTTGGTGGCTCAGCCTGTAATCCTAGCACTTTGGGAGGCTGAGGCGAGTGAATTGCCTGAGCCCATGGGTTCAAGACCAGCCCGGGCAACTTGGTGAGACTTTATCTCTGTAATAAATCAAAAGATTAGCCTGGCATGGTAGCACACGCCTGTAGTTCCAGCTATTTGGAAAGCTGAGGTAGAAGGATAGCCAGAACACAGCAGGTTGATGCTGGGGTGGCCATGAGTGTGCCACTGCACTCCAGCCTGGGCAACAGAGTGAGATTCCAACTCAAAAAAAAAAAAAAAAAGAAAGAAATAGGCTATCAAACATGCACACACACACACACACACACACACACACACACACACACATACATATATTTATCCACAATATTATCACACTCCCTAAAGTTAACAGCAATTTCTAAATATCATATTTGACTTTTCATTATGGACATACACTAAAGTAGAGAGAATAACACCTGAAGCCCACATATATCCATCATTAAGCTTAAAATATTATAAATGTTTTAACAATTTTGTTATCCCTCCTGAACTTTTTTTGAAGACATGCCATTTCACCCTTATATACTTAAGAATTCATCTGTAATTAATTTGTGTGTGTGTGTGTGTGTGTGTGTGTGTGTGTATTTTTAGACAGTGTCTTGCTTTGTTTCCCATGCTGGAGTTCAGTGGAATGATCATAGCTTACTGCAGCCTCTAACTCCTAGATTCAAGCGATCCTTCTGCCTCAGCCTTCTGAGTAGCTAGTACTCTGAGCATGCACTACCTGCCCAGCTAATTTTTAAAAATTTTTTGTAGAGATGGGGTCTTGCTATGTTCCCTAGGCTGGTCTCTAATTCCTGGGCTCAAACAATCCTCCCTCCTCAGCCTCCAGGGTACTGGGATTACAGGCGTGAGCTACCATGTCTGGCCTAATTTCTATGTATACTTGAAATGTTTCATTCATTTGCATCTTTTGATGCTCAAATTCTTATTCTAGGTATTTTTCCATTTTAGAATGATACCAGTCACCTATATGTTGCATGTATTCATTTGATGCAAAATTGCTTTCTACATTTCCATGACATAGCAGATAGAAGTGATACATCACAGTACTTAATCCCATGCTATGAATGAATTAGTTGATATAGATACTGTTTTTTCTCTCTCTTTATTCCTTAAGTGCTTCATTCATGGGACTTTGATTGCTGTCCTTCTTTTCAGTTCTTCAGTTTGTGCCTCCAAGTGTGGATACGGGCTTCTGCAACTTTACCCAGCGCATTGAGAAAGGCCTAATGACAGCCCTCTTTGAAGTGAGAAAACACCACCAGGGGACGTACAACCTCACCGTGCAGGTGAGGCTATCACCAAATGCTGAACAGCAGGCTTTATCTTTTAAAGGGGAAACAGTTTCATAGTGTTTCATTGAAGATGCACTCAATTCGTCTTCCCTCCAGTGAAGGAAGCCAGCTTTCGTGGGTCAGGGTTGATCTCTCCCTATGGTAGAGGGTCTCTATAGCATGAATGGGCCACACTTCTTTGAAGACTGCTGAGTAGCTGATAAGCAGGGAACTCAGATATGGTGAGCTGAAGAGAGATGATATATGCCGGAAATTCAAGAACTGCCCAAAAGGGAATGTGTCAACCTGAATATCCAATGAAGGAATGCCTAAACATACAGTACTGGCATTTCCATGTTATGGAACACCAGGGAGTCTCCTGCTTCACTCACAGAACATGGAGGTTGTGGCTGCTTGTCAGAGAGTGGGCTTTGTGCATATTATATGGAAACTGCTGATGGTTTTATATTTCTTTAGTTTTTCCCCCCTCCATGTTCTTTGCTCTCACTTTCAGAAATGTGTGTTGAATAGATTTTGGTGTTCTGGACCCACTTTCCGTATTTCTTATTTTTTCCCCATATTTTCTGTCTCTTTTTTAAACTCTCTGTTTTTACAGGTTTGCTTAGCCTTGTTCTCCAAGTCATTTAGTGTTCAGCTGTGTCCGTTATGTTATTCAATCCCTCTACTGAGTTTTTCTTAGCAGCCATTTTTTTTTCATTGTCATTTGCTCCTTTTTCATTGCGTTCTTTTCTGTGATGATGCAGGATCATCTTGATGATGCAGTATTGCCTTGAAAATCTATGAGGACATTAATTAAAAATCTGTCTTCAGTTTCCTAAGTTATCCCTTTTGTCTCTCTGGTCGTTGTTCTGTATGTTGACCTTGGGGGGTCTTGCTATGTTCCCCAGGCAACATAGTTTTTGTGCTGTTAGTTTCTGTAAATGTTTGGGGTTGGTCGATCGGTCATTCGGTTGGTTGGTTGTTAGTAGTAAAGAACCAGGTTGTTGATTTTGGCAACTGGCATGGCTTTCCCCTTCAGCTATGAGGTCTCCTCCTGCATCAGCCCCATTTCCCGAAGGGAGAATTCACTGGGACAGAATGTGTCAGCGCAAACTCTCTCTGGGTGCAGGGTGTGGCTAAAGACGGGTAGACAGGGCTTTCCTTCGACTGTCAAGATCAGGAGGCTTTTCCTGAGGATGGGGCATTTTAGTGTATTTCTTCGGGCAGAGCTCGCTGCTTTTTCTTTCATTTTCTTTCCTTCCTTGTTTCTTGTGTGCCCTGGAGTTACTTTGGTTAACCTACCTTCTTGCTTGGAGCCAGACCCACCCTAACCCTCTTCCTTTTCCTCAGGAAGCAGTTCTTTCAGCTGTCCTTGGTGAAGGTGTGGCTGCTGTGAGCACATCTGTGTTGGTCTGGGTGTGGCAGAAAGGAGAGAGGAGGAAGGCAGTTGACTCAGCTGTGTGGTCCAGTCTTTTGATTAGTGATGCTGTTCACCACTCCCCAGCCTGTTCTTGGTCTTATTCCTGCTGATCTCTACTGGGAAACCTCTCCTGGGTCCCCTGGTCTGCTGTTGTCTGTGCCTGTGTGTGTCTTGGCACAGGCAATCCTGGTTTCTGTCAGTATTATCCTGTCCTTTCTCCATCTTCCAGAATCTTGGGTTTCTTCCATTTTCGGTGCTGTTATGGCTTTATTCTCCCTTTGTTCAATGTATTGTTATTTCAGTGGGATTTGGGGTGGGAGGAACTATAAATACATGTGCTCAGTTCATCACTTAATGTAAAAAAACATTTAAAATAAACTGAATATTTAAAGTCTCACAAAGGGGAACCAGGTTAGAGAAAGCCAGTTACTCTTCCTTTGAAAACTTGACCTTCTTTTAAAAAACTGATGAGAAAACTTGTGAGAAAAAAATTATAGTCAGGCTTTCAGCGGAATGTTTTTGTACATTTTAGAAGCTTATTCTTCCTTCCTTCTTTCAGATCTTGAATATCACTGTCAGTTCCTCAAGGGTGGCTCCTCGGCGGGGCCCAGTGAACATTATCTTTGCAGTGAGAAGCACACAAGGATTTTTGAATGGGTCAGAAGTGAGTGAGTTGCTCAGGAACTTGAGCATGGTGGAATTCAGTTTCTACCTGGGCTACCCAGTGCTGCAGATCGCAGAACGTGAGTATTGTACTCTGGGAAGCCCTGGGGAAGTGGCTGTGGGTATTTTTGTTGGTGGATCTTTTTTTTAAAACAAATTTAAAGGCTTTATTTTCCTAGAGCGCTTTTGGCTTCATAGCAAATATGATTGGAAGTTTCAGAGATTTCCCTTATGCCCTGTCCCTATACATTCACAGCCTTCCCCATTATTCACATCCCCCACAAAGCGGTCCATTGTTACAACTGATGGACCTACACAGCACATCATCACCACCCAGTCTGCTTAGGGTTCACTTTTGGTGTTGTGCCTTCTGTGGGTCTGGACAAATATATACCGACAGGTATCTACTGTTGTAGTATCATACAGAGTATTTTCGCTGGGATCTCTTTTTTCAAATGAAATATTTGACTGAACTTCAGAGTATAAATCTGATAAAACTGGAACTTCTCAGATTCAAACCAGGATGGGTCTCCAGAGCCTTCCTCTCCCAGCATGTCTGGCTTTATTATCCTCTTTTGAGAATTAAGGGATCCTGTTAAAAAGTACACTAATTCTGGACAAGGCAAAACCATAGAGAAGGAGAACAGATTTGTGTCTGTCAAGGTTGAACGGCAGTAGGACAGTTTAATTGCAAAAAGGTAGCAAGAAGGCAATTTTTTTTGGAGAATGACGAACCTTTTCTGTATCTTTGTTGTGGTGGTGATTATGCAACTATATGCATTTATTAAAGCCCATAAAACTGTACACCAAAAAGAGTGAAATTTACTGTATAATTTTTTTTTTTTTGAGTTGGAGTCTCACTCTGTCACCCAGGCTGGAGTGCAGTGGCACACTCACAGCCACCCCAGCATTGACCTGCTGGGCACCCACAATCATTCTGCCTCAGCCTTCCAAGTAGCCAGAACTATAGGCATGCGCTACCATGCCCAGCTAATTTTTGATTTGTTGTAGAGATGAGGTCTTGCAAAGTTGCCCAGACTGGTCTCAAACCTGTGGGCTCAGGCAATCTACTCGCCTCGTCCTCCAAAGTGCTTGGATTACAGACTGAACCACTGAGCCTGGCTGTACTGTGTAAATTTTAAAATAAAAAAATAATAAAACAAACAAAACCTTTCTTCCTGGCTATGAAGCAGTTAGATTCACAGTGCAGTTGGAGGCAACGGAGGCGTAGGGAGGAACATTTACTTCAAAAAATAGCAGATTCCAGAGCTGAAGTCACACACACACACACACACACACACACACACACACACACACACTCACTCTCACACACACACTCTCTCTCTCAAGCAAAATGAAACAGCCAGATGGCCTAATGATTCTTTAAAAGAATACCTTTACAAGTTATTTGCTACAAAATTAGGTAGGGATAAAGTCTTTATTTACAGACAATCACTCTCAGCTGTGCACGGTGCACATGTGGCTAAAATAATTAGTATGTCCAACAATGGGGATACAAGGACAGTGTAGGCTAGACAGGTCATGTGGTCAGTTTACCCTGAGTCACTGCTGGGAAAGCCAGGACTCCAAGGAGCACAATGTGAAAATACATCGCTCTGGAGCAGTGACATTTAAAGGGGACCTTTCAAGTAACCTCTTTAAAGCAGCAGTGTCCTATGACGTGGCTGGAGCCAGCCCTTTATTTTTTATTATCCCTCTTTCTCCTTGAGATGAGTGTGTTTAGAAACTGCCACTGTCCATGCCCTCACATTGACCTGTCATTCTGTTCTTTCATATTTAGAGGTAAATGGTATAGGAAAGGCAGTGTGCCGTGACTTTGTTGTGAACATGTTTTTTACAGATTTTTCTCCTTCCCTGACTCTTTCCCTTTGATAGCCTTCCAGTACCCACAGCTCAACTTATCTCAGTTGTTGAAGTCCTCTTGGGTCAGAACAGGTATGTTTAACTTATGTAATGTTTTGGGAACTGCAAGAATAAGTCTGTGTGGGTGTATTGAGAATGATACCACCTCTTCTGTTTCCTAAATTTAGGGCAAAATGTACCTTAAACTCTTGGCAAAGAATGAATGAGAAAGGAATTCAGATTTGGCTGTGGGAATGTGTCCCACTGAGTTACAGAACAAAAAAGACTGGTTTTCTTTAAAATTCATACATCAAGTCCAAGGCAGAATCTAACCAGAGCTGACAGTCTTCCGACCCAGAATAGGATGAGGTTCAGAAGCAAAAATCTCTCTTTTTTTTTTTACCTCTAAGAGTATTATTTGTTTAGTTTAATAAGGACAAGCAGGGTGGCTTGGTGAGCAAAAATAAAACTTTTTTTTTTCCTTGGGGACTGGGTCAGATATTTAGAGCTATGGCATTGTAGATAAAGGCTTTCTTACCTGGTACACAAAAGTAACCAGTAGTTATGTACTCACCAGGTGTCTACCGTGAAGGCAGCACAGTAATGGCATGAACAGAGAGCATGTAGAGTGGCTACCATCGTCATTTATGAGGTTCCTGAACCTCACAAGTGCTCCTTGCTTAACACAACTTACCATGTAAAGGCCCCACCTCTTTGCATGTTGCATCCAGATAATTTTCACAGTGATTAAGGAACTTGCCCATGGTGGTACCAAAGAGAATTTAAACCAGTTCTGGCTGTGTAGAACATGCTCCTTCCTCCTAAACCATACTGACAAATGATTGTCTGTTTAGATAATCTTGTCTAAAGCAGATAACTGAAGACAGGTGGGCACCCTTTTCTCAAGTTAGTTTGTGAGTCCAAGTCTTAGGACAAGATAAAGAACACATACTATTTCCACAAGTGTTGGGACAAGTGCGGACAGAATCTTGGGTCTTGTGGAGGTGCTCTATGCTCCACAGTTCCTGCAGGGCTGAGTTCCTGGGACTTCTGGCCTCTAGTCTGGGGAATACTTAGAGCTTGGAGCTGTAGATAAGTCCCACGAATTATGCTTCCTGGGCTCTCCCTCTCTCTGCTCACATTCACTTCTTTCCTTTTTTAATGTCACCTGCCCAGGGAGTGGCATTTTGTAGAAATCCTGTGCTAATTTCACACACACACATATGCACATGCATGTGTGCATATACACACCTCTTTCCCTCTACGGCTGACTTGTTGTGGGCGCTGTGTGTGTTTTCTTTTAAACATAGTCCTCCTTGGTGTCATGGAGAAGCAGCTCCAGAATGAAGTGTTTCAAGCCGAGATGGAGCGCAAGCTGGCCCAACTGCTCAGCGAGGTTTCTACCAGGAGGCGCATGTGGAGGAGGGCCACTGTCGCCGCAGGGAACAGTGTGGTGCAGGTACTCTAGGAAGTGGAGGGAGTGCCACCTCCAAACCTGTATTTTGTCTGCACATGGGAAATGCCAGGAGAAAGTTCTCATTTCGACTGATTGCTGTATTCGATAGCAATTGAGTCGGGCAGCATTTCAGTTCAGCTAGAGTCTAGACAGATACTTATGAGCCCTTGGTAAGTGGATGGTGTAGAATTAGACTTTAGGAAGCAAAGCAGAATTCTGTTGCTGGGCTGCCATACCCATGACCTTGGTTTTCAAAGAGTAGCTTTTATTAACAAAAGCATAGCCTATTTTATGGAGTGGAATGCATTACCATTAGGATGGTAGAAGTAAGTCACTCAGCCGGAAAAGACCTTAAGAGATCAGAGAGAGAGAAGTTCTCTGCTCTCTGTTCTGGCATTTCGTCCTCTCTGCCTCCTGCCAACCTGGGTGTCTCATATTACCCCTAGTTGTCTTTACTTTGGTAAACTGACAGGTTACAAGAGATAGATTTGTTTAAATTGAAAAATGACCCATTTAAAAAGGCCCATACTCATAGAAAGTTGGAGGCTGTGGTTGTCATTTACTTCCATCTCCATATGAATTATGTGTATTTTTCTTTCTTTACCAACTGCTGACTTGTTGCGCTAGCAAAATGGGATATTTAGAGCTATGGCATTTCAGAAACAAAACCAGGGAAGAACTCTGAAGGGTGGGGTGTAGGCAGGGTGGGGAAGTGGGTGGGTTAGAGACATTAGGGAAGAGGGTACAAATGGCATTGGGTGGGGGGAGCGTGGAAGTTTTGCTTCAAATTGCATCATCATCCTCCAATCCTTTTACCACATTTCCCTCTCAGCATTACTGTGTGTGCCCCCTCCTAGAAATGTGGATCCTGGGTTTCTAAAATAGTTCCTTTGCCAGATGCAATAAGTTATAGAGAAAATTTAAAACTAATACAAATGGAGAGTCATCATTAAACAAATAAGTACATATAAAACAAAGAATAAACATTAAAATTAATTATAAAAGCTTTGCCTTACTCTACAGTTCCTAGCTTCATAGAGCTCAAGGTCTGGGTGTGAGCTAATTTATGTACATAAAACAGTTTATAGGGCACCATGAAGCTGTAAAATAAGGTGCTGAATTTGATATGCAAGCTCCCTAATTGTGAAAGTTAACCACACTATCTGGGCTAATGGTGCCTTCTGACGGATTGCTTATAAACCATGCTCTGCTTCTCTTCCCCTGCAGAGTGACTAGACCTGAAAGATGTAGACAGGGATTTGTGTGCAGCAGTTGAGGGCTCTTCATCATAACTTAATTTGTTAATTGGGGAATGGGTAGATAAATTATAGTAAATCTTTATATGTTAGAATATTATGCAGCAATTTTTAAAAAAGTGGTGAGTGACATATAAAAGTACTCAAGTGAAGAGAGGCTACCAAAGGATGTATGCAGTATGATCCAAATATCAATGTAGAATTCACGGGAAGAAAAAGAATGGAATGGAATATGCCAGAATGTTGACAGTGATTTTCTTTGGTTGGTTGAATTTCAGGTGACTTTCCTTTTGGTCTTTATACTTTTTTGGCATGTGTTTTTCAACATTTCTCTAACAGGCCATATAATTTCCATAGAGCCATGTGATTTTAACCAGAAAATATATTTTAAAATGAAATTGAAAGTATTACTCAAAGTGGATGATTCCATAATACCGTGGTTATATGGGTTCCAGATCTGATTCTGATTAAGTCACTTAGAAAGGATGCTAGAATTAGGTTTTACTAGCTTACTTTCAGACTGAATGTTTTAGTCCATTTGCCTTGCTATAAAGGAATACATGAGGCTGGGCAATTCATAAACAAAAGGTGTTTATTTGGCTTACAGTTCTATAAAAAAAAAGCATGGTGTCAGCATCTGCTTCTGGTGAAGCCTCAGGCTGCTTCCACTCATGCTGGAAGGCAAAGGGGAGCTAGAGTATAGAGATCACATGGCAAGAGAGGAGGCAAGAATGAGATGGAGAGAGGGGCCAGGCGCTTTTTAACAACCAGCTGTTTTGGGAACCAGTAGAGTAAGAACTCACTCATTACCAGGAGGACAGCACCAAGCCATTCATGACCCAAACACTTCCCTTTAGGGCCTACCTTCAACATTGGGGGTCAGGTTCCAACATTAGTTTTGGAGAGGTCAAACAAACCAAATTCTAGCACTGGACCAACTTGTAGAATCTTTAGTCAAGGTGGGTATAACTGGATAGTTATGATTTCTACAAGAGGAAACCATACTTTTAAAATTTATCAGAACTTTTCCATGAATAAAGAGGGATAAGTGGGTATGATCTACTTCCTTCTGTAGTCCTTTGATAGTGTTTCATTCTAAAGACTAGTAAAAAAATATTTCTACAGCACAGTTGTGGGGGTGGGCAGGTGGTTGGGAACAGAAGTGGTCAGGGAACTGACCTGGAAACAGCAACTAAAGGGTAGGATAGAGTCCTTCTGAGGATGAAGTATAAATAACAGATTCTCAAGGGTGAGAGTTTTTGGATGTGTGTTGTTAAGGATTTGTAGATGTGATCTGGAAGAAGGTTTTCCCAGTGAAATGAAATTGTTGGCTTGCCAGAAGTTTCCCATAGTGAAGGCGAGTCCTGCAGCAGCTGTGTCCAAAGCACAGGGCGATGTTATAAATCTATACACGTGGATAGAGAGGTAGCAGCTGTGTTTTGCCAATGGCAAATATAGAGACCAGCAATTTAAATTGCTATGTGTGAAATAAAAGGCTTGAAGCCATTTTTGATCCTTTTCTCAGGACATCAGTGTTTTGCTGGAGTCTAAAGGGGCAATAAAATTGTTGTATATTATTAAGAGAAATAGCAACAGAATAAAATCTATGATATGTCAAGAATACTAGATTCTGAAGTACTGATATAAAAGGATGAGCTTTTAACACCAGAGGGAGATAGATTTGGGGATAAATCAAAGTACTATTTGACCCACAAGATTATGAATTTATAAGGTTTATTGTCCTTGGATTGGTGCTTCTCACTGAGGTAGGTGATTTGGCACTCTAGGGCACATTTGGCAATATCTGGAGACATTTTTGGTTGTTGCCTCAGGCAGTGAGGAGAGGGGACACTTGCTGCTAGAAGCTGGTGGGTAGAGGGCAAGGCTGCTACTAACCATCCCACAGTGCTCCCCACTCCAAAGAATGGTCAGCAGAGCCAAGGCTGAGAACCCCACCCTAGAAGAATAAGGAGGAAATGCTGATAGACTCAGGAAGGGACTGTGTAGAGCCGTTAACGGTTTCAGAGTGCCAGGGATACACCTAACTCTACCGTTCACGTTGGGAGGATGTGGCTGGCATGTCACAGCTTGTTGGTGGCAATTTTAGACTGCTTGAACTTGACCACCCCGTTTTCTGTGAACCCTTCTTGTCCTTTTGTCTCGGAGAGATGTCGAGCAAGACAAAGCACATTTGTTATTCCACACAGAGGAACTTTCCTTTTTATCGGTTCCTCTTCCCATCAGGGGAGAGCACCATGGAGATTCTGGGCCCTTGAATGGTATAAGGAGGTTATTATGCATTTGGAATAAATCCTGAGTGACACAGTCAGGATTAAGTGACCTGAGAAAGGGCATCTGGAAACATGAGCTTCTTCGATGCTAATGGTTTCTGTTATCTTTCAGGTGGTGAATGTGTCCAGGCTGGAGGGAGATGATGATCCTGTGCAGCTCATCTACTTCGTGGAGGATCAAGATGGAGAAAGACTCAGTGCAGTCAAGTCTTCTGATCTGATTAACAAGATAGATCTCCAGAGAGCAGCCATCATCTTGGGTTACCGAATCCAAGGCGCAGTGGCCCAGCGTAAGTGCCTGACGTGTAGTCGTCTGGGCTGCGCTGGGTTCCAAAACTCATCTTGTTCTGACAGCGAGCTCTGAAGTCTGTCATTCTGATGAATGTATAACCCTTATTTGAGGTGACACATATAAAATGGCAGTTATTAAAACTTATCTGACAGGACCTTCTTTATTATGGATTTCAATTGCTTGTAGAGGTGGCGGGCACTGCTGTTTCCCTGCCTTGGATTTTGTATTTGTTGTGTTGTAGTGACTTATAGTGCCTTACATCAATTTTAATATCTACCCCCTGCTCCCCGAACGGTCTCTCTTTTTATAAATTTTGTCTTGCTCTGTATTTACTCCAAAACCTCCAATGTCATATTTTGAATGTTGGTGGGGACAGTGAGTCATGCAGGAAGCTGGGAGGTGCACTCTGGTTTTATTGGCTTCCTTCAGGCTCTTTTAACACAAAGAAGTCCTTGATCCTTCCCCCTGTCAGTCCTATGTCTCTCCCACCCTATCCTCACACTGCTCCACAATTTAGAAAGAGGTATTTTGATGTTTCTTTATTATTGTTGGAAGGTCTTGCTCCCGCCTGCTTGACTGTGGCTGTTCTCAGCACCTTCCTTTCCAACTCACAGATTTGGGGTATTAAAGTCAAGAAAAAGGAGAGATAATGGATGTGTGTTTCTCTAAATGTACCTTTATGAATCAGACTGCTATTTTAACGTGAGTGTTATGATCCAGAGAGTGGTGCCTGTAAGAGCCTTGTGAAACTTGCTTCCAAAGATAAAAGAATAAGTAAATGTTTATCAGGGATTCCACATCAGAGAATATTGGAAAACTCTACAGAGAACGTGAAGGAAACAAAGGCAGACATGTAGGAGACAATTATCCTCAGTGGTGGAAGGCTTTTTGTGGAATCTGTACTTGTCCTTGGAGACTGACCAGTACAAGGACTGATGGGCATACCTCTTCACTTTGTGAAAGGTGATGGCACAGTTTAAGCAAATAACCATTGGCAGTCTGTATATTGGAGATATGAATGCATATTAGTGCATTCTCTTCCAAAGCAGTGAGAAAAAAAATAGCAAAAGCACTTCTTCATATATGACATATATATTTCTGCATATATGACATTTCTGGCTGTAGGAGAGGTACTCCACTCCAGCCAAGCACCTGGTGTTTTTTGTTTTTTTTTTTCTCTCTCTTTTTTTTTTTTTTTGAGTTGGAGTCTTACTCTGTCACCCAGACTGGAGTGCAGTGGCCACTCCCGGCCACCGCAGCCTCCACCTGCTGGGCTCCGGCGATCTTTCTGCCTCAGCCTTCCGTGTAGCCAGAACTACAGGCACACGCTACCACGCCCGGCTCATTTTTTTATTTATTGTGGAAATGAGGTCTCGCCAAGTTGCCCAGGCGAGTCTCGAACCCGCAGGCTCAGGCAATCCACTCACCTCAGCCTCCTAAAGGCGTGGGATTACAGGCTGAGCCACTGAGCCCAACTGCACTTGGTGTTTTAAGCAAAGTCAGTTGCCGTAGGTTGTGGGCAACTTTCTAAGCCTACTAACCTTTCTAAGCCTACTTCCATCCAGTCTCACACCTCTCCTTGCTCAGTTTTGTGCTGAAAACCACAGTCTTGGTAACATTCCTAGAATTTCAGGGCTAGAGGTAGAAGGAGCCTCAACCAACACCTGGGCCAGCCCAGAGGGAGCCTCAGGACACTGGTGTCAGGGCCTTGTGTGATCAACCTCTGCCTCTCCAGGGTTCTACGAGGTCAGAACTAAGAAGAGTGTCAGTTGTCTCAGCTCTTTGGGTTGACCTTGACACTACTTCTATAATGTTGGCTGCTTTCATGCAAAATGAGCTGCATATATAATCTATATTCTGGCCAAATGAAAAAATACATATTTTCGACACCTTGTTACTTTTCCCCGTGGCATATGCAGCCTCTGCTCTAATTTGTGGTTTTTCTTCATGCATTTGATTTAGAATGTTCGCTCCTTCCCTTTGTGGCTCTCTCAGGGGCCTGAGCCCAAACTTAAACCAGAACCAATAATCTTTTTTGTTATTACATCTTTGAGTGAACACCTTTCTTGGTCCCATAGCAGGTATGAACCATCACAGGATATGAATGCATAAGACTTAGTCCAAGTTACTGCAAAGTTCATAATTTTGTCCTTCTTTATGGCTGCATAATATTTCATTGTGTACATTCATTGTGTATATTTTTTTTTATCCAGTCCTCTTTCAATGGGCAGCACGGTTGGTTCCATATTTTTGCTATTGTAAATAATGCTGCAGTAAACGTGTGTACAGGTATCCTTTTCATGGAGTGATTTGAGTTCCTCTGGGTATACTTGGGATAGACTTAGAGGCTATAGTACTGAGGGATCTATCACAGAAACAAAAAACCAAGTATCACATGTTCTCACTCATAAGTGAAACTTGAACAACTATCATAAAACTATAAGAAAGGGATTGATAGTAGTGGAAAACTGGCGGGGGGGGGGCAGGGGTGGGATTGGCAGTATTGGGAAACTGCCAGGGGTGGGCACACCTCATCAACAAGGGTACCTGCATAATGAACATTTGTATACCTAATCCTGAATTGTATCCCACATGTTTAAAATTTTTAAAAAAACAGTCCATACCCATGACCAAGATGTGCTTGAAAAGACAAGACTTGACGTCATGCCCACATTAATGAGCAAAGTCATGTAGTGTATCAAGATGATCCATTTATGTAATCAGAAGCATTTAAGAGAGTAAAAAGGCACCATATGCAAGAGTAAAGACAACAAGAACAAAAGGCCTTAGACAGGGGAGAAATTAGCATTATGAGAAGGTTTCTATGACTTGGGCTTCATGAGGAGGTTGACAGAGAGAAGGGGGCTTTTGAGTTTATGGAGCTTCATGCCTAGAACCTGAGTAGGTGAAGCAGTTGAGCCCTAGGAGAGTGGAGTCCTGTGAGACTCATTCTGAGCATAGAGTGAAGAGGACAGAGGGCCCAGGACTAGGAAGAGGGGGAAGGAACTAGTGAAAGGCATTAAGAAGGACCAAGGTGTTACAGCATGTAGTCCCAGGCTATGAAAGAGGAGAGGCTGGGGGTGTGAGCATGGCAGTGGACTGGGGAGTGGTGGATTCAAAATGAGTAAGATTTGTTTTCATGTGACTTGAAAATTGCCAACTGTCACCTTAAATCAAGCAGTTAAGAAGAGCCATGTTTCCTTTTTTAATATTTAAAAATTTTTAATATTTTATTTTAAAGATGGGTACAATTCAGAATTAAGTATACAAGTGGGCATTGTACAGGTAAAGTTTGGGCCTCCCTTTGGTCCCCACCTTGCCTGGTTTGAGATCAGGTACCCTTATTGATGTTGTGTTCCTACCCCCACCCCGGCAATATCCCACTACTGCCAATCCCTTTCTTATAGTATTGTAGTAAATGCTCAGGGTCCACTTATGAGTGAGAATATATAGTACTCTGTTCTTGGTTTCTGTGCTAGATCACTGAGTATGATAGACTCTAAATCCATCCAAGTTGCTGCGAAGTACTTACGTTTGTCCTTCATTGTGGCTGTGTAATATTCCATTGTGTATATGTACCACATTTGTTTTATCCAGTTCAGTTTTAATGGGTAGCATGGCTGGTTCCATGTTCTTGCTATTGTGAACATGCTACAATAAACATATGTGTACAGGTATTTTTTTGTAGAATGATTTGTATTCCTCTGGGTATATTCCCAATAAGGGAATTGCTGGGTCATATGGAAGCTCAATTTTTAGTTCTTTTAGAAACTGCCACACTTCTTTCATAGAGGTTGAACTAGTTTACATTCCTACCAGCAGTGTAGAAGCATTCCCTTTTCTCTGCTTCCTTGCCACCATCTGTTGTTGTTTGTTTTATTAATGATGACCATTCTTACTGGGGTTAGGTTGTATCTCAGTGTGGTTTTGATTTGCATTTCTCTGATGATGAGTGAGACTGAGCACTTTTTCATGTATCTGTTGACTGCCTGTGTATCTTCTTCTGAGAAGTGTCTATTCATGTCTTTTGCCCACTTTATAATGGGGCTGTTTGTTTATTTCCTTTCGGCATGTTTGAGTTCCTTGTAGATACTGAATGTTAGGCCTTTGTCAGAAATAAAGTTGGAAAATATTTTTTCCCATTCTGTGGGCTGTCTGCCTGCTCACTTGATGGTTTCTTTTGCTTTGCAGAAACTTTTTCAGTTTTCACTTGTCTATGTTATCTCTTATGGCACGGACATCTAGAGTTTTGATCAGGAATTGCTTGCTAACTCCAATTTCCAAGATTCTTATAGTTTGAGGCTTTACATTTAGGTCTTTAATCCATTTAGAGTTGATTTTTGTGTATGGTGATAGATAGGGGTCCTGTTTCAATCTTCTTCATGTGGTCAGCCAGTTTTCCCAGCACCATTTACTGAATAGGTTCTCCTCTCCCCAGTGGTTATTGGTGGAGACTTTGTCAAAGATGAGTTGGTTGAGGAATTGAGGTTTTGCTTCTGGAATCTCCCTCCTGTTCCATTGGTCCATATGCCTGTTCGTGTACCAATACCAGGCTGTTTTGATTATTGTGGCCTTATAGTAAAGTTTAAAGTCTGGAAGTGTGATACTACCTACTTTGTTTCTTTTTCTAAAGATATCAGGGGTATCCAAATAAGAAAAGAGAAAGTTAGGTTATCCCTCTTTACTCATGATATTATCTTATACCTCAAAAATTCAAGAGAATCTGTCAAAAACCTCCTTTCACTGATAAAGGACTTTGGCAAAGTCTCAGCGTACCAAACAAGTGTGCAAAAGACAGTCGCATTCTTATACACCAACAACAAACAGAGAACCAAATAAAAAGCACAATCTCATTCACAATAGCCACCAAAAAAAAAATTGAAATACTTTGGCATATTCCTAACCAGAGAAGTGAAAGACCTACACAATGAGCACTACAAAACACTGCTCAAAAAAATCCAAGAAGATACGAACAAATGGAAAAATATTCCATGCTCGTGGATAGGAAGAATCAACATTGTTAAGATGTTCATTCTATCAAAAGCAATCTATAGATTTGACACAATACCCCTTAAGTTCCCAACATCATTCTTCTCAGACCTGGAAATGACAATACATATAGAAACAATTCACATGGAAACATAAACGATCATGAATAACTGAAAAGCCATGTTTCAGAGGTTTGGGGAGGGTCACAGGTGGAGAAATAAGGCAGTACCTTATAGGCTGCTTATTGGGACTTCAGTTTCTGAATGAACACAGTGAGACTTCATTGAGAAAAAGGATTATCTTCATTCCTTTTATTGTGGTAAAATATACATCATTAAACCTACCACTTTAAAACTTCTAAGTGTATTGTTTAGTGTTATTAAGTATACTTGCAGTGTACCACTATCCGTTTCAGGAAACTTTTCACCATTCCAAACAAAAACTTTGTACTCATTAAATAATAAGTCCTCATTCTTCTTTCCCCCAGCCCCTAGCAACTGCGGTTCTTTTTTCTGTCTCTGTGAGTTTTTTTTTTTTTTTTTTTTTAAAGAGACCTCATATAGGTAGAATCATACAATATTTGCCCTTTTGCAGCTGGCTTATTTTACTTAACATGGTGTTTTCAAGGTTCATTCATGGTGTATAGAATTTTCTTCCTTTTTAAGGCTGAATAATATTCCATTGTATGTAGGTATCCCATTTTGCTTATTCATTCACCTATTGATAGACATTTAGGTTGTTTTCATCTTTTAGGCTAGTGTGAATAATGCTGCCATGAGTATCAGCATCTTTATCATTTCTTAATTGCTGAAGTGGAAATAACCAATTGCATTTCTGATCATGTTATATCTCCTTACTATATGAAATTATGAAATTATTGATTGTTTCACTTGATCATTTCTCTTTCCCCCACTAGAACTAAGCTCTTTGAGGGACTTTGCTTGTTTGTTGTTGAGACCTGACTTTAGAATTGTGTCTGGCACACTTAATACACATGTGTGAACTTGAGAAATTTTGAGCATTGAGGGAAAGGGAGAAAGAGGGGAAGAGTTTTCTTCCATAAACCTCTGAGTTCGGGCTTGTGTGCTGTCATGTAATCTTGGAGGCTGTGAGTCCTGCTGTACTTAATTCAGTGGTCAGGACTATGTTCTGTAGATGTACTGCTTTTCTCTTCCCTTTGAAGATAACCTGTTTTTGTACAAAGTTGTACAGACCATTTTTTGTATGGAAATGTCTTGTGGTAAAAGTTTAGGGAACAAGCGAAATAAACTGGAAGTCAGGAGACCTGGAATTAACCTAGCCTTGCCATTTAATTAACCCTGTGCTTTTTGGTACATCATATATATCATATATATCATTGTGATCTCTAATGTGTTCTAGATGTGATGTTGTATGTTGTGTTTGTTTGCTTGGCCACATTTCTTGTCATCAGGAGATCATAACTTATAAACAATTATCTTGAGCTGAAATGTCAGTGGCTTTTTAAGTTTCTCATAGATGAAGACTCATGCAGTCTTAAAAATGAGTAGAGAGGAATTATTGAAAGACCTTTCTTCCTTTTCTGCAGCTGTGGACAGGGTGAAGAGGCCATCTCCAGAGTCTCAGAGCAACAACCTGTGGGTCGTTGTTGGTGTGGTCATCCCAGTGCTGGTGGTGACAGTGATTGTCATCATCCTCTACTGGAAACTCTGCCGCACGGACAAACTGGACTTTCAGCCTGATTCTGTGGCCAACATTCAGCAGCGCCAGAAGGTAAGGGGCTACCCCCCTTCCAGTGTTTCCATAAGCAGTCTTGCAAGGTAAGGGTGGGATGAGTTTAGGCTCTTAGCACTGAAAGACTGGTGAGAGGGCTATTAAGGAAATCTTCTGGCTTGAATGGTGGTGTCCCTTTGCCTTCATATCTGTTTCCTGAAATCCTGATTCTTCTGTAGTAGTAAATATAGCCCAAAAACTTGAAGCTGAATAAAGGTTTAACTATGATATAGCTCTGGGTTCTACCATGGTTTTATTTTTGAGAGGTTCAGTTGGAAAATCACATCTATTTTGTGTATTAATTCTGATCTGTTTTACTCCTGGATGTTTTCAGAGAAAAGGAACCAAGGAAAGTTTACTCAGATCTGTGTATCTACTTCTTTTGTACGCAACACCATAAGAGGGCCTCTTTATCTTCTGTTCACCAGATTGAAGCCCACTTATCCACCTCGATCAAGACCCCTTAATCATTAAAAACTGACAATACATGCCTTAAACATTTTAACTTAAAATATATGAATGGACATTTACTTGTTAGCCTTGCAGTGTATCCCAAGTCTTTTTGTTTTTGAGGTGTTGGTCTACTGAGAGGAAATGTGTGTGGACTTTCTTGTAATAACACCCAACATGTACCAGTTACGGTTTCCAGTGTGGGTTTCTTTAGAGAGGAGCTAAGCCACATGAATGCCAAGTTCTCTAGACTTTTTTTCAATACCTCCCTCCACCACCTCCTCCCTAACTCCACAGACTTTTGGAGTTAATTTGCCTACACCTAATTTGATAGCAGATTTTTTTTAGCTGCTCATCTTTCAAGTGTCTTTCCAAAGCATTCAACTTAGCTTTCATAGAAATAGCAATTTTCACACATTATATTTGAAAGTTTTCATAATATTTGACTGCTATATCAGGTTTCAGAGCAAAGAAATGGACTTTTGGTCAGTATCTAGCTCAGCTGATGTGAGCAGAAGCATGCCAGAGATCCAGAGGAGAACACACTGGCTTCTGACAGTTGCCGTGGCATGGAGACCAGTCAGTGTGTTCACCAAGGGGGTGGAAGGCGGCAGTCAGCCTACTATGCTTCTTAGCAGGTACCTCTGTACACCTTACAAACGTAGGGGACTCACTCACTTCAAAAGCTTGATAGGAACAAGCAAGAGCAGGCAAGAGAACAAGGAATAAAGGAGTGCTCTATTAATCTCTTAATCTTTTGTTGATTGTCTTGGTGTAAAAAATTCTGCATTTTGCAAACCTAGACCTGTTGAATGAAAAGAATAAACATTTAAAAATTGATTTTACTTTTGTAAAAGTAAATAAAAAGGATTCTTTCTTATAAATTAGCCAAAAAATGCAAAATCTTGCTTAAATTGTAAGCTTATGACTACCAACTATATTAGAAACAGTGTACACATTAATATTACATTTGTTATATATCTTCATTTATTATTTACATAGTCTGCTAAGGTTGTTTTGTTGTTGTTATACTAGTGAATGGTGTTGAAAAAAACCTGGAAAAAAGTGCGTGGTATGCTAAATGATTCATAGTGTGCATTTCATTATTATCAGATCAACAATAGGTTTGGAAATGTTTTTGTTCTGATGAAGAGTGTTGTTACAGAGAGAGTTAGCAGGTATAGATGGTTATATTTTTAGGTCTTCTTTGGTTCATATTTTCTAATATTAACACGCCCATGGAAGTCCATCTATCATCTGTTACTTCAGTAAGCTCTCAGAGGACACCATCTCTTGGGTTCAAAACAGGATATTCCCCAAGCTTTCTCCTTCTCTCACTTTTACTTCCGAAACATTTTCGAGTCCCAGATGTTGCTATAAATCACATGGACTGAGTTTCAAATAGAATTTCCAGTCCTTGGAGCTGCCCTTTTTCCTCCAGTGCTGTAAGGATCTGTGCATACACTTTTACGATGGATTTATAGGAAAGGTCTCCTGCATGGAGGATTCCTCAAAGGAATAACTGTCTTCTGGTACTGTTAGGAAAGCAAAACCTTACCAGCATTGTAGAAGCTCCGTCTTGTTTTGCTGGTGCAGGAACCTGCCCTATAGATCTGCTGTGTATAATAGGAAAATGTTGCTCTCCATTTAGTTTAAAAACAAATGTCTCTACTTCATAAGTGTTTCCTCTAAGTTGAAATGACCATGGTGAGGGACCTAGCTTCTTCCTTGGGTAATTTAGAGATGCCATCCTCCCCCATGGCTGCAAGAGCTCTTTCTCCTGCTCTTTCTCTCCGTTCTGCTCACCCCACCCCCTGAGCTGCCTCACCATTACTCTCTGAAATCCTTTAGCAAATCCCAGAGCTGCAAACATCTGGAAACAATAAATCTGCTGACCTAAACTCCACACCCCCTTCCCCTTGAAACGAGAAGGGAACCTCTTCAGCTTGTCTGGGAGTAGATTAGTTTTGAAATATGATAAGAGGGAGAGGCTATTCTGTCATGTTTTGAGGCAGGGCCTGCTCTTATTTTCAGTAATAAAGGAAAACAAAACCTGTGTATCTTTCTTTTATCTGTGTTCTCTTTAATCTATAGTTCAGAGTCATCATTTTTTACTGTTACCTAATAAACTCCAGCTTGGATCCTCTTCACCATGAATGGCATTGACTGGATGTTGCAGGCCCCATGGAAATTTGTTCCTTCTGATGGGGACAGTCCACACCTCATTATTGGCGTGAGACCGTAGCATCTGACCAGCCTCCATTGCTGCTGAGGGTGGTGCTGCCTCAGATATGGTTGCCTCTTACCGAACACTGAGCCCTTGCTCTGAGCCAGGCTGAGCCAGGCTAAGTTACAAATACAAGTAGCGTGCCATCTCTGCCTTTGGGGATTTTAGCAAGGGAGAAAGGCAAGTAATCCCAAAATAGGCCTACGGTATGTAAGAATGTGTGACATACTGTGGAGCACAGAGGAGGGACAGCTGCCCACTCCCAGTGGGGTGCCTCTATCCGCTGAGAGGAGGTGACCCTGGGGCTGAAGCTTCAAGGTGGAAGAGATGAAGCCAGATGAAGTGGGAGGGAACAGTGGGCAACTCAGGAAGGCTGGAGCAAGGGCCAGAAGGAAGGGCACAGCCAAAACTCGGGTGCCAGAGAACCAGGCCCTGGGAGGTTTTCAGGACAGAGAAGGACTTAGAAGTGACGCTGTAGGCAGTGAGCAGCCATGGGAGGGTTTTCAGTGGGAGAGCTTGAACACATTTCTGTTTGGAATGACCCCTTTGGGAGGCAGCGTGGACAGTGGATTGAAGAGAGGCTCAGTGGGCCACTCTTCGTCTCAGCCAGGTTCCGTTCGCCCCTGTGGCTGCTCTCTGATTCTCTGTAAGGATCCCCTGCAACACCTGACATGCAGGTGATCTCGGTTTACCAGCAGCTGGCTGACCACACCTGGGAGGATCTGGGGGGACTGCTCTCCAGAACTCCATGACCACAGGGTGCCCAGTGTCCCTGTGCTGGGCTGCACTGAAGACAAACAGATGGCAATAACATTGCCTTGTCTTCACCTTCTAAATGGAAACAGCATGGTGGTTGTGGTGATTTTTCACACGTTACATCGATCAGTTAATAAATGCTTACAATGGCACACTCTACATGATGGCAAATTTTTCTTCAGATGCTTTTGGGGTTGGCTTTGTGGTTTCTATTGTCATCTTAACTGTTTCTTCCCAGGGGGTCAGGCTAACCCGAGTTCTGGGACTTCACTACATCTTGTTCCATCTGGTCCTTATTATATCTATGACCTGTGTGTTAACATTCCTTGGCTGACCTGCCCCATCAGATTCCCTGGCTGGTCAGCGACCTATTCCAGTGGGGCATAGACAGTGTGGCCTGTCCCCTCTGTGATATATTAAAGAAAGGAAGAACAAAAGAGCCATCCTTCTTCAGAAATAACTCAGTCCTCATATGAATATTAAAGATGCTAATTAATCTTGACTCTTATAAAATACTGATTGAAGCCTATTCTGTCTGCATTTGGAAGCTGGAGATGTAATACCAGGCAGACTTAACTGTATTTTAAAGAAGATGGAAAAACTGGTCCAGAAAATAGGGATGAATGGAAGAAGCTAATTTTGTAAGGGGGGAGGGGGATGTCTCCTTTCATTTTTTTCCTTCAGTGTATAGATGGATTTTGCACATAAGCATAGATTAGTTGCCAAATTTTTTATTGTTATAGAAGGTGGTGACTCACCCGGCCTTGGAGAAGTGCAGGGATCCAACGGATATATTTAAAGATGTGAGTCGAAATCAACCATAAGCCAACAGGACTTATATTTTTCATTTATGACATATATCCTTTTCTTGGTTCCCCAAAAAATTCCGTAAGTTTGGAACTTCAGCTAACCTTTCTGAAATTAATCAAATCATCAGATATTTATTGAGGATCTGCCATGTGTCACAACCTGTTGCTGACTTACAAAATATTATATCTACATTCATAATTATAGCTATATCTGATGCCTGAGAATCCTTAGCTATTTCTACTAACTGCTTGACGTTTCATCAACCGACAGCAACAATAATACTGTCAATATCATTTGTTTGGCACTTTGGCATTTATGAAGCATTTCCACTTATGTTAGTTATCATGTTTATTTCCCACATGAGCCCTGGACTTGAGCTACACAGACTGTACCACAGTGGCAGCACTATTTATATTTCTATGTCATTTTTACTCCTTTGCTTAGTGGAGGCCATCAGTAGCTCCTCTTCCAATTTTGTTAATGCAAAACATCTAATTTGTAAAAGAGATTATTGCCCAGTCATTAGAGGCATTTACTTTCTTACTAGGAACTCCACCAAAAAAGATTTCTGCAAGTTTTCTTAAATGGTGGTGGTGACGCTAGAGTGACTTTATTTTGTCTGTCATACTTTCACTTAGGGCACCTTGTTTATGGAGTTAAAATGAGGTACTGCTGGGGTAAAAGCAATCCCATAAAATTGGAAATTTCTCATGTTAGGATTTTCATCATCGGCTGTGAATAATTGGCATCGAATTTCAATTTTCTGAGTCTCTGATAAAGGCTTGACAGATGAGAATTGAGAATTATATAGCTGGATTAGTGATTTCAGTGAAAATAACATTTATAATTATCTATTTCATAAATTAGGACAGCATGTCAGAGTCTGAGAGAGGAATCTTCCTGATCATATGGACTTGGTTTTCTGAAGTTTAGGCGTGTTACCTCCTGGCTTGCCTAGTTTTTCCTCTACCCATAGATATGAGGGGAAAAATTGGAATTTATTTATTAAAATTGTGTTTTTATTCTTACATGTTTAAACTTCAGTCACCTTCAAAGTCCTCTCCGTTTGATGCAATGCACCTATTGAGATGCTTTTTCCACTGCTCAAAACAGTTTTTGAACTCATCAATTTGGATGCCTTTTGGTGCTGCTACCGTTTTTTGTTTCACCTATTTTACATCAGCAAAATGTTTCCCTTTGAGGACTTTTTTTCATCCAGGGAAACAAAAAAAGTCCCTCAGGGCGAGACCCAGTGAATAGGGAGGGTGGGGCATGGGAGTCATGCTGTTTTTGGTCAAAAACTGCTGAACACTCAGCACAGTGTGGGCAGGCGTGCTTGTAAATCATCCATCATGAAAAGGGCAAACACATTGAGAGAAATCTCCAAAAAAAAAATTACCTGAAGCTGAACGCACAACAACGCTAGCTGGTACACTGATGCCGATGAGTTCCTGGAACACTTACCTAGCGGGGGAAACCTGGACTACAAAGGGCCTACTATCCGAAAAATAATTCCAAGATTTTGGGGTCCCCGTCCATTGATGCTTGGCTTTTAAGAGAGCAGTTGGATCTTTGTGGAAATTTATAACAAAAGAGGAAAAAGAATGGACTAGTAAGTGTAGAGTTTACAAAAGGTACATTGATGATTGCTATTAAGTATGTTATTTACAGTAGTTAATCTAAATATAATAAATACATGGGGATGACAAATGGGCAGAAGAGGGTCATGAAGGACATTGGGCAAGAGATTTGCTTTCAAGCAGACTGAACACAGATTTGCAGGATCTGGTCACCATTTGAAAGAAGTTAATGAAAGTATTTTGTAAGTCTAAGTAAGTGTTCAAGAAAGTATACACTACTAATTTAGCTCCAGTGTTAGTTCTTTGATTTGAAGTTATAATTTTGATCTTTCAGAAGTAAACTTGGAAATTTTTACTCCTTTTTCTTTTGATAAAAATATGTCATTAAGACCCAGACTGGGGCCGGTGAACAAGAGTGCTCCCCAAGCCTTTCATTCCTGAGAAAGGGGAGCTTGCAGCAGGTGTGCGCTTTATGGCATGGTGGTCTTCTCCAGCACACTGCTGAAGAGGCCTGGAACATTCCACTTCTAAGGCAGACAGATAAAGCGCGGAACCTTGTCATGACCCTCTCCGTGGATGAAACAAGACAGTGCCTGTAGGATTCCTCTCTGTCATCTTCTTCACTCTGTTCTCATTGGATTCTTCTGTGGCAGCCAAGTCTTCTTGATGGTTGGGCAATGGTAGAGGTGAAGGAGTTGAATAAAAACATCACAGCCACTGCCTCTTCTATAGGATGTCTAAATTCACACCATTCCAGTTTGGACTGAATGATCTTATTTCTTGGCTACATTTCTCCCTTATTTCTTTAAGAGAGAAAGAAAGGAAATCATACAGCAAGTTTGATTAAGGGGACCTACCAAAGCCAGTGTTTTGAATTGCCTTGGTATTTGACGCCCCAGAAGTTTCTACTCCTCTGGTTGGAGCATTACAGGAAGCTGCTGCATGGCTGTGAGATGCATCTCTCTTCTGTGAAGTGGGAGAAGGACAGTTAGGAAAGGGAAGGTAGTGGGAGGGGGAAGCCTATGTGATGCATGGACTGTGGGTGCACGCTCTAGTCTCAGGAGAATTGTTTGTCCATAGGAGCATGTGCAGAGGTTGTGCATCTGGAATTTGATCTCTCCAGAAAGGCTGCCTACTCCTAAGAAAAGTATGTCTGCCCCCAGGGGCTTGGGCAGGCCAGCTGAAGATCACTGTGGTAATCCAATGTCTCATGGATGGGGAAATAAACTTATCCCAGGGCATAGGGAATGTCATGGAGCAGAAGGCTTGGGTTCATCGTTTGCAAAACTGTTCCTGAGCTGAGGGATGCACGTACTCATGAGCTGCCCAAGTGGTGGAGTGGCCTGCTCCTGAACACCAGCTCACCAGCTAGAAAATACAGACTTGTCAGCCTTTGCCTTTTGTTTCCAAGCAACACTTTTGTAAACTATATTTACTGTAAGTTTTGTCTCCCTCTGCTGGCATAAATCATTAGTGCAGATTTTGTCTACCCATTCTCTGGTCCTGGATTTTTAGCATGTAGGTAAAATCTTGAAAAATCTCAGCTCCCCTACGTGTCACCTTCTTGATGGCTCTCAAAGTCATGTCTGAGCATGAAAGTTTCCCCAGGCCATGGTCCTCCAAACCTAAGCCACTGGTGTTGCCACTCATTTATACGTAAAGTTAGCAAAAATAAGACAAATCTTTTGGCTTCTATGCGTGGTACATTGTCTAAAATCAGTCCTTACTCTGTTTGGCTTTTGTCTTTTGAACTGATCAGGCCTTTGTTTTGCATGTGGTGTTCCTGCTGAGACCTTTTGGAATGACTACTTCCTTGCATTTTATTTCCCTATATTCTGCAAACTTGAATTAAGGAAACTGGATACTGTTAGTATCATTAAAAATGTCATCATTTAAAGATATGTGGTACAATTCAGGATTAGGTATACAAGTGGTCATTGTACAGGTAAACTTTGGGCCTCCCTTTGGTCCCCACTTCACCTGTTTTGATATCAGGTACCTTTATTGATGTTATGTGTTACCTGCCCCCCCCCCCCCGGCAGTTTCCTGCTACTGCCAATCCGTTTCTTATATCCTTATAGTATTATGGTAAATGTTCAGGATATAAAAATGGAAATTTATAAAAAAGCAAGAAGGAAGGAAATTACAAACATCTCAATTTCATCTTTAAAATTAAAAAATCACAAATTTACACTTAAAAAAGTCATCAAAAACACTGCCCTGCTGTTATTGTCCATATTTCTGTGTACCTTGGAGAATCTTTCCTATTTTGCCACAGGCCTAGAAACTGAAGTCTGGCATTCCTCATTGCAGGCTCCTGGGGTCTTGGTCATGGGTTTGGTGTTGGTGGGTGCTGTGTATTCCTGGGGCAGACTCCTGTATCCACCAGTGTGAGTGGTGGACTTTTTTTGCAACCTACTTTCTCCTTCAGCTTTGTGCTCCATTACATCTATTGACCACACCTTTCTAGAAATTCTTTGTTCCCTTGGCTTCTATTTCACTGAACTTCCCAAATCCTTCTGTTTCTTTGAAGTTACATTCTATTTTCTTCCTTGCTTCCCAGACTGTTAGATGCTCTCCAACACTTTGTCCATGGAATCTGTATGTCTCTTGAAAAACTCAACTCCCCTACATATTGCCTTCTACACAGATGGCTCTCAAAGTAGCATCTGAGCCTGAAAGTTCCCCCAGGCCGTGGTACTCCATCTCCAGCTACACATACTACTGGCCTTTGGGACTGCTCCTGTCATCTCAAATTGAGTCTGTTTGAGTATGTCATTTCATCTCCTCCAGTCGTCATTCCTTTATACTTCTTTCCCTGAATGTCACTCCCACCGTACAGGATACTCTGCCTAAAATGTTCAAGTTATCACTAGCTTCTTTCTGTTCCTTTGCCTCTTGTGTCTATTTGGCTTCTAGGTCTTTCTACCTGATTTCTAGAGCTGTTCATTTCTTTCCATTTTCATTTCAGATTTTGGGCTCAGGCCTTCATGATTTCACATACATGGTACTGCTGGGCCCTTGTTCTATTTCCTTAGTGTCCTGCCTGCTTGGATTTTAGAAATCTGCATGCTTAGAAATATCTGGTGGTTTTCTGTATGCCCAGAGGGAAGCTCTAGAAGCTACTGTTTTTGGAGTTGTGCATATACAGGCTGGACTTCTCTCTCACTCCCCTACACTCTGACCTGTCTGGTGCAGCCAGTGGCTGGAAACCAATGTCTGGTTTCTGATGGGATCTAGAACATGTTCCTTGTAGCGTCCTCTTTTTATTTCCAAATCCTCAAGCTCTGACTCAAGTCCTCATTTCACTATAAGGAATATCTTGTCCATGCTACTCTCTGAAATCACGTGGCACATGGTATGCTACTGTGACAGTGGGTCAGATGTAGTCTTTGTATTATGGTCTAGCTGTTTAATCCTTGTACTTTTTGTAACCTTTCACAAGTCTCTGTCTTCTTCTCAATCCTATGTATATACAGAACCATGCACACAGTCAGTGTTTAGAGATGCTTGATGAACTGGATGTTGAAATTTCCAGCATAGTCTTGGGTCAGAAGTTGTGTTCCTCTTGTCAGCCTCAGATGGCAGATTAACTGTCTTGTTTGTATGTCTGCCTGTGTGTGTGTTTGTTTTAGCTGCAGATCCCTAGCGTGAAGGGCTTTGACTTTGCTAAGCAGCATCTGGGTCAGCACAATAAAGATGACATATTGATTATTCATGAGCCAGCACCACTGCCAGGACCCGTGAAGGACCACACCACACCCTCGGAAAATGGAGATGTGCCAAGCCCCAAGCCAAAGATCCCTTCCAAGAACATCCGCCACAGAGGAAGGTTATTATTGGGCTTTCTGTTTTGTGTCTGTTGTGGAGTGTGCTTCTGTTTTCAGGTGGTTGGTTTCTCACATTGGCAGGGCTGATGGTTGAGTACAGCCCTGCGTCAGCAGCCTCAGAGACAGACGACCTGCCCAGAGTTGTGCATGAACCCGTTGTGCTCTGGCCACTCTGATGGGCCACCGAATGAGGGACTGTATGCTTTCCTTCCCCAGAGTGCTTACAATGATGAATCATTGTCTGTGATGGTTTGGCGGTACCCTCAGGCCTGATTCAGGATTGACCAGCTTGGGTGTATATATTCTGAGGGGAGCACGCCAGGCCCTGTGGAGATCATCTCAGAAACAATGTAGGAAGAGGGATGATGCAGGGTACACACTCAGCTGGTGTGGGCCTCCGTGCCCTGGTCTAGGATGACCGTGGTCGGCTGGACTTCAGGGCTCTGTCCGCAGGTGACCATCACATCCTCCTGCATTTGCTTTCTTTTTCTCTGGCTTCCCGTGCTGTCCCCTTTGCTAGCACATTGTCACCGCCCCATCCCAGCCCAACTTCCCATTCCCAGCTTATTTCCTATTCTCCTATCAAAGTAAGCACATGGAGAATTGCTCATTAGCTTTCCAAACTACCTGGAAGTCCTCTCCCACCCTCTGGCCCTGTGAGAAGGGCCACTTGTCTGTAGAAGAAGACAAAGTTCAGAACCCGGTTTTGTTAAGTCGACCTTAGATCAGAGCACCACCTGGCTTTTACTGCTGAAGCCTCCTGCTGTCAAGCTTCCTTTGAGCTTTGGAACTCTGGATTCTGATTTTCTGCTAAGAACAAAATAGTATGTGATCATACCAACATTCGAAACTGTGTCATAATTTCTGTCTCATCAGAACATCTACCCCGGGGGTTCTGACCTAGTTTTAAGAATTTAATGGATGTTAGAGCATGATCTTTACAAAAGAAAATGAGTTATGTGGAGAGATACTAGTTGCTTAATTATTTTGCTGGTTAAAAAAATAAATTGACTAACTAAACATTATTGAATATGTGAATACAAATTTGGCAAGTAATTTTTTTCTTGCCTAGTAGTCTCGTCGTAGATGTTTAATCACAACATCTCAGTGGCCTGCATGGTTAATAACTTTGTTTTGGCCAGACATGGTGGCTCATACCTGTAATCCCAGCACTTTGGGTGGCCAAGCTGAGAAGATTGCTTGAGCCCAGGAGTTTGAAACCAGCCTGGGCAACATAGTGAGACCTAGTTTCTACAAAAAATAAAACAATTAACTGGGCATGGTGGTATGTGTCTGTAATCCCAGCTACTTGGGTGGCTAAGGCAAAAGGATTGCCTGAACCCAGGAGGTCAAGGCTGCGGTAAGCCATGAGCATGCCATTGCACTTCACCCTGGGCGACGGATGAGACCCCAATGTTTCAGCATCGCTCAGGGGTACTGGAATGTCTTGTCACTTTACATTTCCATTGAAGTCAGGCTACTAACTGATGGAGGATTTTTTCCTAGTCTGGTGCAAGCTGGATGCTGTGATACCCTGGCTTTTTATTTATAGAATCAAATCTCAGTGTAGGTGCCTTCCAAAGATCTGGAGTTATTTGGGGTGACTGCAGAACTGCTGTGACCTTCCAGGGATTCTGCAGACCCAGTTAACCCTGAAGCAGTCCTGAACCCCAGGTCCTCTTTGATCCAACTCATGCTAAACCCAGACTGCTTGTTCCGAAGTGTCTGGAACCAAGTACTGGGCCTTGGGCCCTGGTAGCTACTCATCTCCTCCTGATTGGCACGTAGCTTTCTAGCATTCTTGGAATGAAGCCTGCTGAGGCATTTAGTAAGCTGTGTCCATCTGTCTTCAGGTGGTGACCATGTGTTTGGTAATGTGATCCTTGCAGATGCTGTGCTATGAAATAACTTTGTGGACTGTCATCTCTACCAGTTTTGCCTGGAAGCCTGGCTTCCATATCCAGGTTAATGTGACTTTTTTTTCTTTTCATTCTTTACTCATTTCTAATGTTTGCAATTTATTTTGTGTCTTCAGAGTTTCTCCCTCAGATGCTGACTCTACGGTCAGTGAGGAATCCAGCGAGAGGGATGCAGGAGATAAGACGCCAGGAGCTGTCACCGATGGCAAGTCCCACAGAGTCCCACAGAGTGGTCTGTGACTCTTCTTGTTCTCCATGTTAAAAGTAGTCCCGCTGGGCACAGTGGCTCACGCCTGTAATCCCAGCACTTTAAGAGACAGAGGCGAGAGGATTGCCTGAGCCCAGGAGTTTGAGACCAGCCTGGGCAACTGGGCGAGACCATGTCTCTACAGTAAATGAAAAAGTTAGCCTGAGTCTGCGGCACACACCTGTAGTGGCACACACCTGTAGTACTAACCACTTGGAAGGCTGAGGAGGAAAGATCACCTGAGCCCAGCAGGTTGAGGCTGTGATGGCTGTGAGTATGCCACTGCACTCCAGTCTGAGTGACAGAGTGAGACACAGACAAAAAAAAGTAGGCCCTATGAGATTCTCATAAGCTAGCATTTCTCACTACTTCAAATGCTGAACCTTAAAAAAACAAAACAAAACAAACACAAAAATACCTGTGAAATGGAACTCATCATTCCTATGGTGAATTTCTTAGCATCACCTGTCATCACTTAACTTCGTATTGGTGTCTGTTTTGGGATGAGAGACTGTGCTTGAGGTTAGGGATTCATCGAGGTGTGTTTTAAGGTTTATGGCCTCCTTTCATTCTTGTGTAAAGTCCTAATAATTTTCCTGCCTGAAGGTCAAGGAGGTAGTGCACTGAAACCATAATTTCAAGAACTGTTCACAGGATTCAGTGACTTTCTCAGGAACCAATTCAAGGATGGCATAGCTGTCATTGTCAGAAAATTGTTTACCATAGGTCCAAGCCTGTTATGTTTGGTCCTGTTTCTAGATCTTTCTTCCAGCAGGTGGTTTGGTGTGATCAGGTGGTTCAGCATGGGAGTCACATGTAGCTTCGTAGGCCAGGTATGAAATTAACTTGTTCTAGAATGTGACCGTGAGACTGATGCCCTATAAAAAAAACTGTATCCACAGGTCTTACTAGACTTGGGGGCATTTTTTCTTTTTGGAGTGATGGTAAGATAGCTTGATTTTAATTGGATGGATTCTTTTAACTAACTGTGAAGATGCAGCTATTGTATTTGCTGGAGCTCCGTTTTTCTTTCAGGATTGTGTTTCAGTAATGCAAAGTCACTGGAAAGCCTTGGGATGTTATTTGTATAATGATTTTTATACCTACAGTTTTTAGTCATGATCTCTGTGTGGAAGGAAGAACTGAGTGAGCTGTATTCTATAAATTAACAGATTCTGGACAGAAGTGCAAGGGACTCTTCTGTCTCTGACACCTGGGTAGCCTTACAAGTCCCTTAGGCTTTGAGGCTCCTATGGGACTCAACTAGCAGACTCTTGGGATTCCTTCCAGCTCCTTCCAGTTGGCTCTTTGCAATGTTAAGGAAGTACCCCCTTAGAAAAAGGGAAGAGTTTTTTCTTTGGATCCAGTTTTACAGAATCTTAAAAATTATTTAGCACTGTGGTAACATGTGCACTGTTTCAGATAGGATTAAAGTCTAGTTTTGATCCTGGGAAAGAAATATTTGGGGAAAAAAAGAGCTCTAGATTTTCTCAATTTCTGTTCATTGCTTCTCTGAGAAAACCTTGCTTTTAGTGCCTGCATTTGACTCCTGATAATATTACCACCATTATATTCCATAAGGATATCAGAAATGAAATACCACTCTCAACATGTATCAAAATCTGGGTATAAGTATTTCAACTCTGGGACTGTTGAATGTGGATCAGATTCAGTGGTCCACCTGAGAGAAGTGAACCAGATGTTTTTGGAAATACTAGAAGCTCAGATGCTGCTATTATAATTTGAAGAGACACCAGAATCTTTATATTATTTTCATATTTTAGAACATAGCTTTCTCAGTATAACATGTCTTAGAATTCCCCACTTGGGCTAAGCTCAGTGGCTCAACCTGTAATCCCAGCACTTTGGGAGGCCAGGGTGAGTGGATTGCCTGAGTCTGTGGGTTTAAGACCAGCCCTGGCAACTTGGTGAAACCTCGTCTCTATAATAAATAAAAAATTAGCCAGGTGTGGTAGCACGTGCCTGTAGTTCGAGCTACTTGGAAGGCTGAGGCAGAAGTATCACCGGAGTCCAGCAGGTTGACACTGGGGTGGCTGTGAGTGTGCCACTGCACTCTAGCCTGGGCGACAGAGTGAGACTCCAACTCAAAAAAAAAAAAAAAAAAAGGAATTTTCCATCTGAAGACCCTCATAATGTAGGCAGCATTTACTCTCATGCCCTGTTAATTAAGGGTTGCCCCTGGGGGTATTAGATCCCTCTTGGTTTTGACCTGTACCTGGTACCCATAGCTTCCAAAGAAAGCCTAAGAACTGAAAAGCAGGTGAGCTTGAGAGAATGAAGTCAGTGGCCAGTTCTGAGATCAGTGCTGGGATGTTACAAGGAGTATCAAAAATATCTGCCAACAAATAGAGTGTTTGCTCTTTTATTTAAAAAATGTAGGGATTTCCTTTTTAGGTAAAGTTCTTCCTATGGGCATTTTTTTTCCCAGTGAGATACAGAACACCTCTGAGTAGAGGCATTTGTCCAGACTTCTAAAGAAAGATGAGAATGAAATTTTATCTTTCTTCAGCCATGGTGCCATCTGGACCTGGGGTTAATGACCATAAAGATGAGATCTTCAATACATTAATACCTGTGCAATGGCAAATGCACAAATATAAACATATGTGCAAATTGGGGATAAAGACTCCTTAATGACTTTAAGAAATTTGGGGGGAGTACATTAAGTGTGGCCTTGTGAGCAGATAAAACAGATGGCCATTTACAACCTATAGTTTGAGAGCTGCCATGTATGGAGGAGGAGGACTGTACTGGCAATTTCCCCATCCTTAAATCAAGGGCAATTTCATCACAACAATATTTTTGATGACTTTAATTGACACACAATAAACTGTATATATTGACTATATAATTTGCTAAAGAATGCACTCGTGAAACCACCACTACCACCATGAGAATAATGAACACATACACCCCCCAGAAGTTTCCTCATGCCCCTCTGTAACCCCTTTTCTGCCTTGTCCCCTCCCCAGGCAGCCACTGATTTGCTTTCTGTCCTATAGATTAGTGTGCATTGTAGACAACTGTATATGAATAGTGTCATAGAATAGGTACTCATGTTTTGTGTAGATAATTATTTAGAGATTAATCGGTGTTGCTGCATGTCAATAGTTTGTCCTTTTTTATATATGAATATTTTCCATTGTACTGGCATGCTGGATTTCATTTATTCATTCATCTGCTGATGGACCTTTGGGTTGTTTTCAGCTTCTGGTAATTAAAATAAAACTGCTCTGAAAAAAAAAATCTATCTTTTCTTTATATATACACACATATATATACAGAAAGAAAAAGAAAATGTTTTTCTTGCTGCAAATATCAACTCACTTTTGAAATTTTGTTTCTTAAATGGTGTCATAGGTAACTTTCATCATAAAGGGTTTTTATTGCTTACATATAAACTTAGTTAAATACTTTATTTAAAAAGATTCTTTTTGTCGCAGCTTTTGAGTTGTTGTGTAAGTCACATAAAGACCCTTCTTTTGTGGCAAGTCATTTGAGGTGCAGATTAATGGAGGCACGAGGCTGCTTGAGATCCATCTTGGAGCCCTCTTCTATGCTGCCTGGGAGTTGCCTTCCTTCTCGCCCCTGTGGAGGGCATGGCCACCAGTTATCATTGGGCTTATGGACAAGGCTTTTGATGGCCATCCCAGGCCATTGGGCATTTTGAGGACCCACTTTGTAATGGAAGCCAAGAAGAGACCATTGTTTCAGCTTTGGAAAATTGCAATTGTGCTTTATTCTTTTTCTGACTGGCTGTTTGTAGAAGTTGAGTAGGCTATCATGCAAACCCTTACGACCCTTAAGAGATTATTCACCAAACGTCACTGTGTTCACAGTTATGACAGCTTTATTTAATAAGTCACATCATTCTCACTAGTAACTCTTAATGAAGATGTGCAGGGAGAGATTAGTTGAGGGGTAATGGTATTAGTGCTGCCATTGCTGTGTCCCTGCATAATTGTAGATTTTCTCTCTCTCTCTCTCTCTGTCTCTCTTTTTTTTTTTTTTTTTTT